ACAGAGCCTGGCTGGGGGGCAGGGGCTTTGGGTGGGGGGCACAGGGTGGCAGGGCTGGGGGTTAGGGGCTTTGGGTGGGGGGCAAGGGGCACAAGCAGGGCATCCTGCCATGTACCCCTTGCCTTCATTTTGTTTTTCTGGCATGCTGGCACTCCGGCAGCTTCCAAGGTAGGCACTGTGGTGTTTTTTGGCACTCCGGCCAAAAAACGTTGCTTACCCCTGGCTTATGCTGTGATCCTTACATCTCACAGTCAAGTCAGGTCTGTTTGGTTGTGTGATCTCTGAGGAGCACATAGGAACTACAGGAATGATGCTATAAATCAATAAGCAGCCCTTATCCACCTAAGGAAACAAGGTCCTACATGGTATTAGGGGAGATGATACATCTAGGAGTTCCAGCATCCTAATGAAATGTGAAATGGGGGCCATTAAAGACCTCATGGCAATTTTGCATAACTGTACCTTCCCAGTCCAGATTCCAGTTTCTAACCAAATTTCACTGACCTACAATTCCCACACTGCAATTTCAGTTGGATACAATATTCTTCATGTTGTCTCCCAAACTGTTCTGTAGAACAGTTGTTCTCAATCTTTTAGAGTCCAGGCATATCTCATTAGATTCAGGGCAGCCCTCAGAAACTGCCAGCTCTTAGCTTTCTTGACTACAGAAAAATGATGGAGCTACTCTTTGTTGCACAGAATTCAGAAGGACCATAACAGGTCAGAAAGGTTTTGATACTCTTGTGAATCGTGTGAAGCTGTTCGCACACCTAACGGTACTAATATTGCACGGTACTCTTAAAAGGATCTTGTGGCACCCTGGCTGAAAATCACTGCTGTAGAACCAAATTAGAGCTGTAACATTAGCGGTGGTACCTTTTCAAAACTGCATAGCTGTATTTCTGAAATTACAGCATTCCAAAGAGAAAGAACTGATGTCAAGCAAATCTCTATCACTTCTCTACCCTTCAGCTCTAACTCAAAAGACACCCTTACATCATTACTGGCAATAAAGGCAAGAGATTACAAAAATCACCTGCCCCATCAACTGTTAACTGAACACCCAAACAGATGGAGGCTTAAAAGTCATAAACCACTTGTACGTGAAGCCCACACGCTCCTGAAAGAGAATGAGGACCAAACCTATGGGCAGCAATAGAGGGCTAAACCAAACCTATGGGCAGCAACAGAGTGGGCCAACCACTGGGAAGGGTCAGATCTATTCCTACAGTTTTATATCAACACCGAGTGAGTTGCCCATTGGACATGACCTTGACAGAGAAGCGTGGGTCAAGCCAACTGAGATCTGGATACAGATGCTTCAGAACAACACTTCACAAGATGAAAATCTTGGACAGCCCCCTGTGTGAATTCAGTGTCCAACAAACATCACAGCACCTAAGCAGAAGCTGCAATCTTTACAAATGTCCGGATGGGGTAGATGAAATCTGCACATTGAACGATAGCGCCAGACAGTGGCTCATAGATTTGGAAGTTGATATCTAATGCCATGTGAAAGAAAGAGAGGGTGTGCATCTACACTTATGTTAAGGCACTTTTTCTAATGCACATTCAATTTAGTACCTCCAATGTGAGGTACCAAAGAAATGTCCATTAGGCTGCCTTAATGCACAGTAATGAATGCACAGTTTTTAAGTGTCGCTTAATATGCAGTAGCCTATTTCACTGCACATTAGCATAATCACAGTTTTTTACGTGATGCTTTAATAAGCAGCAAAATAGGCTACTGCACATTAAAGTGCATGTCTGGATGCAGCCAGAAAGCTTTAACTTATTTAGCTCACTGCTGCTTTGCATAACTCTTACATCAGATATTACGCCTCTATATAAAGAATCTGCTATTGATAAGGGAGCGACCACCATATTATCCCTTTCTACCAGGGAGATGAACTGTGAGGTTTCATAAGTATGGTCTATACAGTAGGGTACACAGTGCTGTACATGTCTGATCTTGAACCACTGAACGTCATGGAAGTTTTGCAATTAACTTAAATGGCAGCCGAATCAACCTCCATACTTTGTGAATTATTTAATGAAAATTATTTTTGCCCCAAATATCGCAGTTTAAAGTACTTACAGTTAGAAATATACAAAGTTCTGCCCCATGTTACACCATGCAACTCCACTGACATCAGTGGAATGTAACTGTAAGGAGAATTTGGGGTTCAGTGTTTACAAAGTACATTGAGTTCTTCACATGGGAGGCTCTATAATAAAGTGCAAAGCAGTTACTATTATCAATTATTATTATTATTTTAATTTCTAATAACTTTGGATTTATTCTCCTAGAATCTGGGGATTTCTCAGAAAAGAGATAATGAAGGGGAAGGTCACAAGTGTGTATGTGCGTGTGCATGAAAGAATGAAGACACAGTGTCCCTGTGTCTGTGGCCCCATGTTCACTTCTTAATGTCCCGGCTCGAAGGCCAGAGAGCAGGGAGACCCCTCCTTCTAATGGAAAGAAGCCCTTGGTATCCATCCATGATTAGGGCCAAGAGGCCTAACAGTTGTTAGCCAGTATTTGTTAGCCAACAGTTGCGAGAGTGAAGGAGGGGTTCCACCTCTTAGTTTGAATAAAAGAAGAGTATTGGCTATTGGGGCTGAAAGGCAGCCTAGAGATGAACAGTGGCTGGAGGTAGGTCTTACTTTACAAAAATTCTGTGTGGAGACAGGCTACTTCTGCTCTTCTCACTAACTGCAGGCTCTTGAGAGCTGGGAAGAAGAAAAACAGTGGCCAGAATAAGGAAAAACTTAATGAGGAACAGGGAGGATGAAGAAAATGTAACCAGATTATATAAATTAACTGCAATATCAGCATTGCTTCCCTACCTGTTTGGTTGGAACACTCCTTTTGTCCGTTTTTCCCCTTCTCTTCCTGCCTTTTGATTTTTAATTGTAGGTTTTTTGCTTTATTCTGCGTTGTTCCTCTGCTCCTAATAGCTCCCCTACTTGTGTCCCAATGTATTAAGGGCTAAAATGTTACACTCTGTTTAAAACGGCTGTGTATTTTCTTGGACGCATGTCCTCTAACAGCCCAGGTGAATCACAGACAAAGAAAAGCCAGCTGCTTTATCCCAGACCCCAGCCCTGTACACATAAACTGCTACCAAGGGCACTGCCAAAGCAGAAGAGAAGGCAGGCAAAATTTCAGGAACTTATCCCAGCTTTATCTGCACCTATGAGAACCTGTTCAGAATGTAGGACAGGGGAGGGCCATGATCATTCAGCTTTCCCCTGTCCCATTCCCCCAACCCTTGTGTCAAATTGGGGTACAGTTGGAGACATAAGAAAAGCATTAAGGGAACCATACAGCAGCTCTTAAATGTGAAAATAGTTAAAGGGACTTATTAAAGCACTCACAAATACAGCCAGTTAATAAAACATACAAATAAAAATGTCTAGGATGGAAGTTGGAAGACATGACCTGAATTCTAAGATGTGAGAGAAGATGTTTTTGCCTCTTCTGGAACATCTTTTCCATAACTACCATTTTGTGAATCTGGATGCCTTTCTGATCACATGGCTACTTGTTCTTAAAACAGTTCCTTTGGCAATCTCTTGCTTGGCTGCCAGCAGGATCTGACACCTGGCCTGGAGCTCCTGGTGTTTTTCATTGTTGGTGACTGGATAGGCAAATGTTACTTCTGTCTGCCCAAGAATGCTGTTCGTAGCATTTTGAATAACCTCAGAAAATAAAGAACCAGTATCTTGGGTTTTTTTGGGGGGGGGTCTAGATGTCTTCTACTTCTTTTGTAGGAGTGACCCACATTCAAGGCTAGGGTGTCTGATTGATGCTGATGGTCCAAACCTGTTATTTTGGCAGGCTGCTGGTCACTTTCTGTTTAAAATATATCTTTCTCTCCCATTTGTAAAGGGAGTAACTGTTTGGCATTCTTGTCATAGTATTATTTTCTCTAATTGTTTCCTGGCACATAGGTTTCTTTCTTGCTTTGTTTTGGCTTGGTTTGAGTTTTTTTGTAATTCAGCATTAATTGTACTTAGCTCAAGGGACCTATAAGATGTTGGCACTGAAAATTTTTATCTTCTGGCCATTATCCATTGAACTAATGATCCTAATAAAGCAGAGGTGTGCTTCAGTATCTAACAGTGCTAATTACAGACCCTAGGAATATGTCAGGGTTCTGTTGTTTTTATTATCAAGTTCTGCGCTCTGCATAGTGGTTTTTCCACTAACGCATTTGACTGTGCATAGTTGGAGTTTGATGTGGTGTGCTTGAACTGGGAGATCAAAGAGGGTTGCCAAGTGAGCCACTTGTGAATTGTGGGTCATTATCTGTTATTAACTTATCTGGAGTCTCACGATGAGCAAACTGTAATTTACACTACAGTATTACATTGCTGCTCAATGTGGTACGCAATAGCTGAATTTAAAATATCTATATATGAGTCCATAATGAGCAGTAATCTTCCCCAGTTAATTCAGTGTTTACCAAGCATGATCAAGAATTTAATTTAGTTCTTCTAGGTTTTACATATTGTGTTTCCTGCCTCTACTACCACATGTAACAGCACGGAGGGTTTCACCTTCTCTGATTCTCTGCAGTGCTGCTTGCTTCCAGGAAAGTTTGGAAGCATTACAACCTCCTCCAGTTCTCTGCCAGGTTTCTTTCAAGATTTAATGATTCAGGTGGTTTTATTTGCTCCATTTTCCCCAAATTCTAGTGTTCTACTGCCACAATATTCTGAAGTGCAGCAAACAGAAGTGTTGCTAAGAGGCTTATCTTTATTGCCTGACCCCAATCACATGACATGTCTTAAGGTTATGAAAGAGCAATGCCTCTGCTATGTATCAGTACCCACTGATTTCTTTTGCTACTGTGACATCACTGTACTGTTGTCTTAGGAGGAGGGTATACTGCAGACACGTGATATACTTGCTTTTACCTCTACCATCTTCAGAAGTGTCCCTTGCAGTCTGTTTCTGCCTGACTCTTACTATGCAGTCTGTGATGACATGCTCTTTTTTGGTGTCTGTAGCATCTCCCTTCACTGTGGTTTCTCCGTCTCATCTATACCCCTGAGATATTTTTCCATCTTTTCCTCCATGCTTGTTTGCCCTTGAGTTCCTCTTTATTCTCTGCCATACTTCCCTCAGACAAGTTGTTTTTTCTGGTAAAGACTGATGGGGATCTGGCAAGAGACTGAGCATATATCCACATTGCAATTGGAAGTGTGATTGCAACACCTGAGCTCCTTTTAATCTACCCAGACAACACATGGCTTCAGCGCAGGCCGGCCCCACAAGCGCATACTTAATGTCCCAACCAGGCTTTTATAGCTCATGCTTCCCTGTCCATAATGCTTACCTGTACCCAGGCTAGTCAGATTAAAATTGGCTTGGGCATGACTACACTGACACAATCGTACCTCTGAATGCAGTAGAGGTTTCACTTAGAGAAGAGACAGCAGTAAATAAAACAAAAGCACTGAAAGAAAGCTGCTACTGTAGCTGCCAGAAGTTGCTTAGCAGTGTGTGGGCCAAAGGAAAAAATCCCTTCTACGATGTTAATTGATACATTTCACAAATATGAATAGAGCCTTACAACAACCTTGTGGAGAAGGGAGGGATAATTATTGCCATTGCATAATTTAAGTGGAAGTTAAGGAACTTCTGAAGTTCACACAAGAAGCATATGGTGAAAATAAGGGTCACAACCAAGAACTTAGTCTAAGGTATGTGGTGCAATTATTGTTTTTCCACTTCCATCCTTCTGTTTCATCAACATACACAGAATGCATCTTTGGACAGTTATAGATGGATACTTCTGTGCCTTCTCCCATGATACACCTTATGCATTACTTTACAGGTGTTTACAGCTTATTGTCCTCCTCCAAATCCCACCTTTACTATTTTCCTCTGCTGTGTTCTCTGCACAAATTTCCAACTGTGGTTAGGGAGTTTGTGTGCTGTGACGGCATAAGTATCATCTTGTGATCATCTTGGGCTCCTTTCTTTTCTTATACTTCAATCTTAATACATTTGGGCAGAGATGGTCTCTTAGTGCACTAGGGTCCAGGTCTCCAGGTGCTACCACTGTGCTGTTTCTGTTACTGCCACTGAAGATGTCCCATTAAAATATCAGTTCTCAGAGGACTTGGAAAAATAACAAATCTGTCACATTTCAAGCCCCAAGGTTTTGTATGGTATACACTATGAGAACAAATGTAAGCAATTGTCTGGTAACCTTTTTTTCCTGAAAAATAATACAGCACTTGAAAAGACATGGATGATTGGGGACCCTTCAGCATCAGAGGTCTGTGAAAAGTACCTGCTCTGATGACAAAATAAGAATAAATAAAAATGAGGTAGTTTGTTGAGATCTGCCAAAGTTATGATGACCCGTCTCATTTCTTCATTTGCACTTTTGGCACAGACTGTCCCTCATTTTGTCTGTGTAATTACAGCACCCCCTACTGCCACTTCAGCAATCTGCAGACACACCACAAGGGGCTGTGATAAAAAGGACCACCAATTCTCTTCCACAATTTATTGAGCCATCCTTCTGAGGAACGCCAAACTCTCCCTTCTAAAAATTGCTTACATCCCTACCATTACTGATGTGAGTGGTGACACCAACTTTTCATCCTCGTTGACATTGTAGGCCCAGAGGTATATTCATCAAGGTAAAGTCTTGAGGATTGCCATTACTCTTTCCTTCTTCATTAATTCCCTTCCCAGTCTGCCAGAGCCAGGGAGAACAAAAGACAAAATTCTTCACTGCTTTATTAGGAATCTGGTAGAACAAGTACTGATTCTTGCAAAAAGCCCTGCCCTCAGCGCTGAACCTGCGCGGGGCTGACAGGAAATGCCCACTCAGAACTTTGACTGTAAGTCACAAACTGAGTGTGCCCTTCCTCCACGCCCTGCCACGCTCTGCTTCCCTCATGGCACCAGTCTCACGGGCTTTGATCTTTTTGTCAAAGTCAAGCTTTCTTCTCTGAACCAACAACCAGCTGCATTCGGTGTCCACCACCCTCAGATTCTCTTTCTACAGCAGGGCATTGGCAGCCATGGTCCCCTCTCCCCCTCCCCACACCGCCTGGGGCAGGTTGCTATATTATGCAGAGGCACCAAGTATGTGGGGGCCCAAGGGCCCTAGCTCGGGAAGAGGGCTGTCACCGGAAATGCGTAAAACTTTTTTACATGTCCATCATGCTAGGCCTCTTCCCTGGCAAAAGTCAGTGCCTATGGTATTGTCTGGTGTAGCGTCAGGGTTGGCTGTGGAGTTTGCTAGGAGGTTAGACAATAGATTTGTGTAGGAAGGTTTGGATAGGGATCACAGAATCATAGAGCAGTCAGGCAGGACAGGACCTCCAGAGGTCATCTAGTTAGGGTGACCACCCATCCATAATTGGGCAGGACAGTCCTAAAATTTAAAGATCAACTTCCAGTCCTGGGCTGCATGACTCCAGGACAGCATCTGTCCTAGATTCCCAGTACTCTGTGCAGGGATCTGGGTTTTTCCATTTGTGCGGAAAACCACAGGAAACAGCGGGTTTTCCCTTTGCAGGCAGACAGAGTCCCAGCCTGTAAGGGGCTAGGGGGAGTGGGACACAGGGTGTGTCACGTGCACATGACTGGCAATACAGCCCCAGGCAGTGGAGAGCAGCTCCCCAGCTGCCTGTGGGTAAATGGGGGGAGGGGGAGGCAGACTGATGCCCCCCATGATGAGGGAGGAAGTGGGGCAGGGTTGGCACCTGGGGGTGCTGCCCAGCCACATGGGCCAGGAAAGTGCAGCCACAGGATCTGGCTGGAGAACAGGACAGTCACAGGCAACTTGTCCAGGAGTGTGTTGCGGGGGAGGGGAGAAGGCAGCTCCCCACTGCTGCATGCACTCCTGGGGACAGGGGAACGGGTGGGCCCGGCAGCCCAGTGCTGGCTGCTCCCCCATGGTGAGGCGCCCCCTGCCCGCAGGGATGGCAGCAACAGCACAGTTATACCCCCTGTTGCTGCCGGGTGGGCAAGGGGGTGCGCCACCATGGCAGCGCAGCCAACGCGGGCTCCCGGGGCAGGGAGCCGCCAAGCACAGTCTGCATCCTCCCCCGCCCTCCCCGGCTCCGCGCGGGGCGGGGCGGGGCGGGCACGTGGCCTGCTTTTCAGTTCGGAAGAGGTGGTCGCCCTCGGCCCCTGCCTGAGGCAGGATCATCCCTCTCCAATCCCAAACCCTCCCCCACAAGCCCTCTGGGTAAAACGGTGGCCAAGCCTCGCCCCACGCCGCAGCCTGCCGCGGGGGGTGGCGGCTGCACAGCTTGTTCCCAAAGGCCCCGGAAGCCCAGACCCACCCGCTACGAGGGGAAATGCCTCCCTCACCCCAAACACGGCCACTGGCCTGGCCGCCAGCGCAGCGTGCGGCAGGAACAGCGGCCACAACCCCCGGGGGAAGCTTAATACAACCGTGAGGCGCGGGGTGGAAGGGCGAGGGCGCACGGCCTGCGCTTCCGGTTCCGGCGCCATTTCCGGGCCGTAGGCGGCGCGGAGCCGGGAGTGGGGTGGTGGTGCCATGGTGCTGCTGGAGAGCGAGCAGGTGCGGGTCGGGTGGCGGGGCCGCGTGGCCGGCCTCTCCCTTCCCTTCCCTTCCCTCCCCGCTAACGCTGCGCCGTGTCTCCGCAGTTCCTGACAGAGCTGACGAGGCTGTTCCAGAAGTGCCGCACCTCGGGCAGCGTCTTCATC